AGAAGGACCCGGCCACCCACTTCTGAAAAAATTGGCCCTGAGAACCCTGTGAATAGCAGTGGAGCATATACAGTGCCGGAAGGGGAGAGGATGGTGCAAAAAAGACCGGGCAGGGTTCCACTGTGCTGTCCACAGAGGCACTGGGAGTTGGAATCCACCGGAGGGCACTGACAACAAACAACAGGGTACAGATGCCTCCCTCCTCGCCTGTCAGTATTGCTACATATGTGCACTTCATCTTCAACTACACAGAAAGAAAGAACTTGAAACCTTACATGCAGCTGGAGGAGACCACAGGCATAGGGGCCAGCGGGGTGGCTTGAATCCCCGCTCCATCAATACTGATCTACGTGAGCTGGGCGAGAGCGCTAACCTCTCTGGGCCTATTTCATCTCTCTATGAGCTCCTGTGGCTGCTGTAACAAATCACCACAAACTTAGTGGCCTAAAACAATGCAAATTTATTGTCTTTCAGTTCTGGAGGTTGGAATCTGAAATGGGTCTCACTGAGCTAAAATCAAGGTCTCAGCAGCGCTGGTTCCTTCTGTGGGCTCCAGGGAGAATCCATTCCCTGCCTTTTCCAGTTTCTACAGGCACCTGCACTCCTTGGCTCCTGGCCCCTTCCTCCATCTTCAAAGCCAGCAGTGTGGCCTCTTTAATCTCTCTCTGACCCTCCTGCCTCTCTCTCATGAGGATCCTTGTGATTATACTGGGCCCTTGGAGAATCCAAAATAATCTCCCATCTCAAAATCCTTACCGTCACCCAGATGGGTGCAAAGTCCTTTTTGCCCTGTTTAGGGGATTAGGACATGGGCATCTTTGGGGCCATTATTCTGCCTATCACGTCTTCAGAATGGAAGTGTCTATCTTGCTATGGCTGCCATGATGATTAAAGGGGAAAGCATATGTTAAGCACCAGCACACAGTAGGCACTCCACAAACGCTGGTCAATTGGACAGAAGCATCGAAGGCGCTTGTGGTAGGTGATCGTTGCACTTTTCTCTACCTGCCATTACATCACTTTATGTATTGGCTGACGGTCCCTCTCCCCCAGGCAACATCACCCCCACCAGTGCAGGGACGGTTCTGTTCCCTGCTGCATCCCTTGTGCCTGAGAAGAGCGAAGCACACAGTAGGTGCTCAGTATTTGTTGAACCAATGAATATTAATTTTTTTCACCATGAATGAGAGGCACTGGTCACCAGGAGACTGCGCCAGTCACAGTGCGCTCTCCTGGGGCTTCTTGATGAGATCATGATGGAATAGAGAGCTGGTGTTTAACTCTGACACCCAAACGTGCAGATCTGGAGTTGGGATGGGTAAAGGATTCTGTCGTAAGACAGCAGATTCGAGGAAGACAAGGTCGTGCTTTGTGGGCAACTTTGAAATAAGCAACTGAAGAAATTTGGGTTTTTGCCACCTGGGAGTATGGTTACATGATGTGGGATCAGGATATAGGAACGGAATTGAACAAACGGAAAAGCATCTGAATAAGTGAACACTGAGTAACTGGTCTCTAGCAGCATGTCCAGAGCAGGCAGGGCGGTCTTTCTGATACTGTTTTTCACCACCCCAGAGAAGGGTCACTGCCTGCTCCATGAAAGAATGCCCCTCTGGGGGACTCTAAAGAGGGGGTCTCACTGTGCTGCGTTGGAAACCGGCGCCAAACCCTCTCCAGGGGCCCAAGATGGCGCCACCCAACTGGGTCTTTCCTGAGCAGCTCAAACACTGCTATTGCTTCATGGGAGCATCAGGATACCACCCCCCCGCCCCGACAGACCCTCCCTGGGGCTCCCACATCCCCGGAGATGAAGGCCCAGGGCCAAGAAGGTGCCCAGACATGGTAGGGACTGCCGGCTGCCCCTGCAGCCAGCGTGGGTCTTTCCTGGGAGGTCAGAGGGACAGCCCCTCTGTGCGGTGTTCTAAAGAGGGAATTTAAGATCCAGGAAAAGGGTGATTTCTTCATGGCCTGATAACAAGAACAAGCTTTGGCTCCCATCCCAGTTCTGTCACCTCCTAGCCATGTGACTTTCGGCCAGTCCACACAATATGAACATGAACTTTTAAGAATTCTGTCAAATGTGGGGGGGGAGGCGTGGCACCTGGTTGCGAGGATGGAATGACCTCACGTAAACAAAGGACCAGACTCACAGCAGAGCTCTAAAATCTGAATCTCTTTCTCCTCGCAGAGGGTGGGGTCAGCTCCTGGAAGCAGGAGCCTTTGCCCCCCCCAGTCTGACCTCCGCAGATCCCTCCATGTGTCTAACACCTGGTCGTGGGCCCACAGGCAGCGGCCTGTTTATCAACAGGAAGGGAGGATGGCGAGCACGTCATGGAGCCTCGGGACCACAAGGCCAAGGGCATTCTGATGTTTACGGCTTCATGGAAGCTGTCCAAAGAGGCAGCCTCCAGAACTAAAGGGCTGTAGCTGCCAAGTTTGCTGGGAAGGGGGGACAGCCTTTCATGGTCTTTCTTACTGGGGCCCTGGCTTCAGAGCCAGGAGGGGCTCCCAGCTGCCTGCACGACACAGACCCAGTTCCAATGTGGCCTTTGGACCTTAGGCTCTATCCTCTGGAACCCCAGCATCCCGGGACATGCCTGAGGCCTTCCAGGGTGCCCTGAATGTTGCTCGTCTTCCTCTGACCTCGCAGATCCAGTTCCTCCCCTTGCTATCAAGATGGGACAAACCCCACATCCTCCCCAAGGCTTCCTCACCCCATCTCCTACCACGGGCTGGAAGTTCCTCCCTCTCTGGGCTCCCACACTGCCGACTCTGAATCAGGGCCACTCACGTCTGACTTGTGTGATTTCCCTGAGGGCGGGACCCGGGTTTGACTCAAACGGTGGAATTACAGTGTCTGCTCAGCATCACAGTGCGATAAATATTTGTGCAAGGGCGGCAACGAAACCATCCAAGGCTCATTAGTTAAGTTAAATAAGGGATGTTTTAGATGGTAAGTCATAGGTACGGGCCAAGCTTTTCTGGACATGTCGTTGTGGGGAATTAACCCGCAATGCAGGGAGGGAGGCAGGACTGTGCGTCCTGGGGTTGGGGGCGGGGTGCAGACAGAAAGCATCAACAGACCCCAGCCCCTCTGCTTGGATTAAGCCACTCCGATCAGCAATGACCTAAACATGGTTATTTTCACAAAGTTTAAGTTTTTAAAAAGCTAGAAGGGACAGTTCATCTGGTGAGGGATAGTCTAAAGGTTCTTAGTTGGTTCTCAAATTCCATGAATGTTTCTCCCTTTAAAAAATTCATAAACGTTTACTGAGCATTTCCTAGTGCCTGACACTATTCTAACCACCGTGCAAGAAAACTACCTGGTTAATCCTAAAAACAACCCTTGAGGCAGGTCCTGTTATATCCCCAGTTTACAGAAGAGGAAACCGAGGCCCGGAAACCATGAACTTGCCCGAGGTCATACAGGTGGGAAGGACCAGAAGGGGGTTCAAACTAGGCGGCTGGCCTCCTGTTCTCACCTACTGTGTGTGTTCCACCTGAACTTACAGATAGCACTTTCCTTCCCTTTAGATTGGAGTGCTGGACATTTAGTTTCTCAAAAAGGGTTTCATTGCTAACAAGCTTTAGAAACCACTGGCCCAGCCCAGACTTTCCATTTGACAGATCGGGACCCTGAGGCCCAGGAACAGGGGCTGAACACCTCCTGGTCACACAGGGGCTTGTGATGGAAACAGAAAGAGAACCTGGGGCCAACATCCAGTCTGGGGCAACCCTCACGAGGCCACACCACCCCATGCTCCAAGGAGGTGGCTCTGCTGGGGTGCCGAGGAGCAGTGTGGTGTCCCAGGGGACAGGCAGATCTCAGTCCAGTCCTGGCTCTGCTGCTCATATGGGGTGTGACCTCCTCCCTGAACCTCGGTTTTGTCTTCTGTGGGTCGGGGTTGTCACGCAGGGTGAGGATTGGATGAGGTCATCTGTGCCCCCTCGGAACGCGCCAGCGCCCCCTCCCCCCCGCCACCGGACAATCAGTGGTGAGTCAGGGAGGCAAAGCCAGAACCGTGAACGCGTTTCGTGGCCTCACAAATCTGCGGAATCTGAGAGGGGCCTGGGGTGGGGGTGGGGAGGTGCCAGCTTTGTCCTCAATGTCAGAGAAGAAACCCAAGACCTGAGGGACTCAGCCGGACACACATCCCCATCCAAGGGGGATCTAAGTTTGCTGAGGGACCTGCTCTAGCACCTCCTAAATGGCTCAAGTTCTGATTATAATTCTATGGACTGATCACGGTCCACCACTGAATACGGGATTTGGTTTCACAAACACTGCCGAACGGGGGCAGCTGTGAACCGTGAATACCTACGTGTGCGCTACCCTGGCAGTGGTTTGAGTGTCACAAACAACGGTGACCATGCATGCTTTTCACCCCGTAGACCTGAGTGGACAGTGGGGAGGTCGCGGCCGACACTGTCGTGGCCCCCGGCCTAGAGGTGGCGCCGGGGTCTGCTCACTGGCGGGCAGGTTGTCAATGAGCAGGAAGGTGAGTTCTGCCCTTTGTGACTCCAACTGCACTTGTGGGTAATCCAGTGCAAGTGTGGATGCCTGCTAATTCTCATGCTCACACAAGGCAAGACCTCTCTTAAATAAAGAAAAGAGGAAAACGGCAGTAGATTTCATCAAGGGCTTTTATTTTGGCTGCTTTAAGACCCTGGCTTTCCCCTCTCCGGGACTGAACACAGCCAAGCCTTTCCAATCACTGGGAAGGGTCGCCCCAGGTTCTTCTATTTCCTCGTCCCGGTGGATTCAGGCGAGACCCTCAGACCCACCCACTGCTCACTAGACAGGAGAGCCGGGAGGCAGGCTGCGGGCCCCAGGGCTCAGCACGGACACACTGTGCCCGAAGCTGCCACTTCTCTGGCCTCCAATGGATGCCACCAGGCGGGGCCCTGACCACATGACAGAGCTCAGCACTTTGCACAGCCCCCAGGATCCACAAACAGCCGTCAAGGCTTAGCAGCGACCAAATAAATAAGTGCTCTCCTGGAGTTTACACACCAGCACATTTGGTTCTTTCAAAAACAAATCCAATACCAAGGTAAATACGGGGCATGGGTGCTCGGAGGGGCGGGGGAGGAGGGAGAATGTCATCTGTAAAGTGCTTTTCAGGACACAGGAATCCTAGTCTAGCCTGGCGCCAGCTCCGCTCTGAAAGGTCGGGATGGGGGGACAAGACTGTGCATGCAATTTCCAGCGACGCTGGCATTCAAAGTGGACAGAGCTAAAGCAGTCAGCCCATTCAGGGAAGTGTGAGCAGATTACACATAGACAGAGGTCTCCGAAGCCCTGCGTTTACACATGGGAGCACACACACACATGCACACTCAGGGTTAGTGTTGTGCCGTCTGGTGGGGCGGCCACACGGGAAAGGCCCCGCAGCGACACATGCCCACACCACCCCCAGGCGGGGCCGTGGTCAGGCCGCCGACAGGAACGGGAAGAAGAAGAAGTCGAAGGCGAACTTCACGGCGCCGTGCACCACGCTGCGCCAGTCGTGCTCGACCTTCACGTGCCGCCTGGCCGGCGAGAGCTCGGCCATGCAGTTGAGGCAGCTGATGGCCTTGAGCTCGAAGACAGGCCACTTGCTGCCCAGGCGGCCCTCGAGGATGGTGCTGAACTCGACGAGGCTGCCCTGGCGCAGGTGCAGCAGCACGTCCTTGAACTCGCTGCTGGCCCGCAGCACGATGTCCTTGGTGACGTCGTCCTCCTCCGGGCTGCGGGAGCCATCGGCGCCTCTGTAGGGCATGCCCACTGTGAGCTCGAACTTGTACCGGCCGAACTTCTTGATGTGGCAGGGGTGCTTGGCCAGCGGCTTGAGGCGGCAGAGCTCCTCCTCGGCCGTGGAGACGTTGCCGGGGCTGCAGGAGGGGTAGGCCTCGCCGTAGAGGCAGCGCATCCAGTCGCCGATGAAGAACGGGAGCATGTTGATGGCCGACTCGGCGCTGTTGTCAATCTCCGTCACCCGGACGTACTTGAAGCGGCCCGTCCAAGTGACCCTGTGGCCCTCCAGGTGGCTGCACAGGATCTGGGTGCGTGCCATGTTGGTCTCCTTCCAGGCCCGTGGCCCGCACAGGAAGCCGTACTGCTGCCAGGTCAGCGTGGAGTTGTAGACCTTCATGCCCTCTGACCGGTACACGTAGAACCAGCAGAAGAGCACGATGGCCGTGATCCACACCAGGATGAGCTTGACGAGGGAGCTCCGCGTCAGGGACTTGACCATCTCCACCACAGAGAAGTGGGTCTTGGTCCACCAGCGGAACAGCAGGGGGATGCTACAGACCACCATGGTGACCGCAATCTTGGTGAGCTCCAGGGACACGAACCAGCGGGCAAACTGCACCACGCCCATCAGCGCCAGGCCGGCCACCAGGATCGGGAGAGCGAAGAGGAAGAGGAAATAGCCAATGGACGCGCGGACCAGCCCCAGGCCGGTGGACTGGAGCAGGATGACCACGGAGAGCTCACACCACATGAAGCAGACCAGGTAGGGGACCAGGTAGCAGTAGGTGCCCTTGAAATGCCTCAGCTGGGCCATGCGGAGGAAGAGATAGAGCAGGTAGACGTAGAGCAGGCAGGGGACGCTGACGTTGAGGACGACGAAGTGGCCGATGGGCACGGTGAAGAAGGTCTGGCCCAGGAGCTTCAGGTAGCGCCAGTCCAAGGGCACGGTGGGCAGGAGGGAGAGCAGGCCGGCGGCCACCTCGGTCACCAGGGCCCTCCGGGTGTAGGGCTCGGCAGACGTGCTCAGGCTCATGTAGCTGGTGACGGTGAAGAAGACGCACACGACGGCCAGCTCCGAGCAGGGGATGCAGTCCTTGCTGGCGATGGGGAAGGAGAAGATGACAAAGACGACGGACAGCAGGAAGTGGACGTAGGGCTCCAGGTGGTTCCAGCCGAAGTTCACCTCGGCCTGCTCCACGTCCAGGTTGGGCTCGAAGCGCAGCAGCAGGCCCGTGAGGGTGCGGAAGCTCTCCCAGGCCTTCCCGTCCTGGAAGACCTTGAGGGTGCAGATCACCATGGAGACGAAGGACAGGTAGAAGACGACCAGGGGGACGAATAAGGCAAAGAAGTCGATGGTCAGGTTGCTGATGATGAAGAAGAAGACGAGGGCGTTGATGTGGTGGGTGGGGATGATGGTGGACAGCCAGTGCATGCCCGCCCGCGAGGCCACGTCGATCAGGTACTCTTTGATTTCCATGATGGCGTGCAAGGGGTACTTGACCACCTGGGGGTGGAGACGAAGACGGGCATTGGACACACGCCGGGACAGCAGCCCCGCTCGCTGTGATCTCATCACCCTGTCAGCCACCATAACTAACTCCGGGCACAGTGATAACTCACCCCTGCCGTTTTCCCACCACTGGGCCTTTTGTCCAAGCGGATCCTTGCACACGTAGCCCCTCTCCGTGTTTCCACCCTTCCCTTGATTCCACCCAATCCTGCAGGTCCCGGCCCCACCTCTTCTGGGACCCTGGCATCTGTTCCCGACTCCCAGCCTTCTGCCAGGGTTTCCAGACTCACGCCTGCTAGTGTCCCCTGCAAGACCTCAAGCACCTGGAGGAACCCAGCCGGCTCCCCTCTGCCCTCCCCACGGGGCCTCATGCTTGTAGAGACGACAGAGCCCTGGGCTGTTGGGGTGGGAGCCGGGCTTGTGTCTCAGCTCCCCCTGCAGGGAATATGTCACCTCCCGAGCCTCGGCTCCCCATCCACTAAGAAGAGGACCCGTCAGTCTACAGCCCACGAGGGGCTCTGCAGGGCTAGCAGACACGAAGAGTCCCAGCAGTGGCAGTGGAGTTGGGACTCCGGAAAAGAGAGCGTGGTACAAACAGGAATAGCAGCGGCTCGGCACGGCTCCACCGACCAGAGATGATTCAACTGTGACAGGCCAGAGGAGACGTCTCCACTAGTGGCAGGAGACCCCGAGCACCAGCTGCCTGCCACCACCCACCCCCATGCGTGCACGCACGCCACACGCACACACGCCATACTGCTTACAACAGACACACGACCCCATGCGGCCACGTTCAAAGGCAGCCCCCCATCCCTGCCTTGGGTCCCACTCCCCCAGTCTGCACCCAATGCAAAAGGCAGCAGTAACCCTTGGCCTTTACACAGCAAAGAGGAATGAAGGGCTGTGGGGGAGGTGAGTGGGGGAGATTCTGCCATCCAGGGCAGACCCTCACACCCTGCCTGGTTTTCTGTGCAGAACTCACAGAGGCTCTCAGCCCCGCCAGGGCTCGGGGTAGACGGGAGAGAGGCTGGAGGGGCGAAAAGAGAAAGTGGCCGTGGAGGGGCCGGTCCTCACACAGTGCGTGTGGAGGAGGGCGGGGGTCTGGGCGTGTCCAGAGGGGCAAGGGCCTAGACTAGACCACACCAGGGAGTGGGTCCTCAGGGCAACTGCCCACGCGTTGGGGCAGGAAGGCCCAGCTACGGCCCAGAGCCCGTCCGAGGGGCTAGTGATGGGAGCAGCCATCGGCACCCAGGGGAGGTGGGCAGCACTAGCCTCGCCCATGCCCTCGGGACAGGCTCTCTCCGAGGGCCGAGAAGACTGGCCCAGGAAGAGGGATCCTGGGTGAGCATAACCGAGTGACAACTCCAGGATGTGGCCATCATCTGCCCAAGAGCCCAGGCTGTCCACTCAAGATGATCAGAACGCCTGGAAGCAACCAGAACATGGAGTTTTCCACAGATGAGAGCGATGGGGCTCATAAAGGAAACTGAAATGTTTAAGAACGTGTGTACGTGCACGCATGTCTACATATACACGCATGCACGTTAAGTATGAAGATTCCCCATATGTCTGTGACGGTCCACTTAATCTCCGTATTATAACAAACAAGAAAATGAACAAACGAATAAACCAGCTGGGGGCTGCCTCCTGCTCCTGCGGCCAGCTTGCCAGAGAGCAAACAAGTGCCTGTGAAAACGAACTTGCTCCAGGCTTCCTCTGGGAGGGGTCCCCTCAGCACAGAGCTGGAGCAGCCGGCTAAAATCAACGGCCCCGGAATGAGTCCCTGTGTGCGTCAGCCGCGGCCTGCTCAGCTCATGCCTGTGGAGGTGGACAGACCAAAGGCGCCCCCAGAACTGCTACTGCTCACCATCATCCTCTCTGAGCGAAACCACACCAGGCGGCCTTGGGGAGCCGGCCCAGAGGTGGCTAAGTAGCTGGCACCTTATTAATCTGAAATTCTGTCCTAATTCTCAAAAACACTACTTTTTTTTTTTTTTTTTTTGCCCAAGAGGCCACACAATCCTGCGATTGAGAGGACGTTTAAAAAGACAATGAAGCTTCTAGAACATGATGTCTAATGGTGTCTGGCCCCTGCCGCACACGGAGGCTCCTGGGCCACTATGACCAGGGAGTTCTCTCCTTTTAAGGTCCCAACTCTGCCCTCTGTAGCTTCCACCCAAGTCCTACCTCTTGGGGCCTCACTGAATTGTGAGATTAAAAACCTTTTCTGTAGAGAAAGTCTAAACAAATTAAAATGAACTCTTCTTTGAGCAGGAAAAAAAAAAGGGAAATTAAGAAAAAAATGAGTAAGGAGTCAGTTCCATGAAAGGCCAGTAAGGAGCGCTCTGGCCAGGTCTGAGGTTATCAGCTGTTCCTCTGACACGGAAAACCAAGAAAACAGAATGTTACAACCCGGGCAGCTGGCCAAGGGCCCCGTTAACTAACCAGGGTGAGGCAAGTCAGTCTAAACCAGATTGTGCTCAAATGTGAGTGAAAGCTTTCACGTGTTGGACTTTCCAATAATTTAAGGTAAAAACCATTAGAATTTTAAAATATTACTAAATTTACTTTGAAGAGGGTTTCATTTGTCATGAAAGGCTGGAGAAGTGCCTGCAGTCTGGAACATTCCTGTGGGAGTCAGGTTAGCCCACGAAGAAGCGCCTGTCATTTCTCTCTTGGGGTGCGGACGGCCCCCCACAGCACGTGTCCTCGCTCTTGCTCCGAAAGGCTATTAAAAGCTGGAACAGCTTCCAGCGTCAGGAGACGCCTGCTATGATTCATTCTCTCTCTTTTGCAAAAGACTTTTAACGAGACAAATTGTAAAGGAATCAAGTGCTCTGACGGTTTCAAAAACTGAAAGAAAACACACAGCCTTGTGTATTTCTTGTCAGGATACTTGAAATCTCTTTCCCAAGAAGGACCCTCTGATACTGCACAGCACTGAGCTGACCGCCCCTGAGCAGGGTGACATAATCTGCTGTCCCAACCAGGCTGCGTCTGAAAGGAGGCACTGTTAGTGGAGACGCTGGGCCGGGCCACTTGGCCCGCGGGTCTTCTCCAACTGACCTTTCACCCTTGACCCTCACTGGCATTTGGGGAGCACCTCCTCTTTGCGAAGAACCACGGCCAGTGCCCCACCTTCCTTCTCTCACGTTAATGAGCAAACTGACACATCTACCCGTGAGCGCGGAGCCCAGGCCCGCCTCCTCGGGGACCTTTCTGTACCACCTGTCCCCAGAGGGAGACCGAGTCTTTCATCGTGGTGTCGCCCTGGGGGACTTTGCAGCCCTGGCACCACCCTGGGACTCACCCGGCCCTCCCTGCAGCGGGTCCTGCAGCACTGTTTTCCGTCTGCCTCCCTACCCGAGGGCGGCCTGGTCTGAGCCTCCACTGGGCTCCCAGCACAGTGCTCACGCTGGGCTGTCTCCGGCATGGGGAGTCCTGAGCAGACTTCCTGTCTCCCACTCCCCACTGCGGCTGAGCCGTTGCCGCCCCGACCCTGACTCAGCCCATCTACCACACTGACGGGGTCCAAACATGCCCCCGGTCAGCTGAGAACACCCAGAACCTGAAAGGAGTCTCGGCTGACGAGCGCCCCGGGCTATGACAATTCATCACAGGCCCGCAGAGCTGGCCTTGGCCCCAGGGCCACACATGCTGACGGACCTGTCTAGGTCGCGTGCTCTGCAAAGTAAGATATGGACCCAACTCATTCAACCCGGGGAACAGGACTGGGGGTAATTCTGTAAGAACACAGCATGACCACACTGTATGTCTGCACAGAGTAAGTCAACCACATGGCCAAAGGAAGAAAACTGTCACACCTGGGGCACAATCTGCCACCACTGGCTTTCTGTATGCTCCTCACTTGTTCCTGGCTGACGGCAGGAGCAAGAACGTGCTTGCTTCTCTCAGGTCAGCCCGCTGTCACCTCCTCACCACCCTGTCCACACCACGCCCGC